AACTGTAATTTTTGTTATGAAAGGGATCGAAAGAGAATAGGAAAAGTAAAGGGAACATATCGATAAAACCATTGAATATGTCAGTGAGCGAATCAGGATCTTCTTCAAGTACGTGTAGCCTTTCGCCGCCAACTAACTGTGAAGACAAGTTACGTTTTGATGTTTAGTTTGATTAATACCTTGTAACGTTGAATTATTTTTGATATGACAGAACAAATGACGGATATTAGTACTATCTACGTATGAACTTTACATTATCAAGATCAAAATATTGGCGCATACAATAAATATTTAGTAGTACATATTATTGCTGGTAATAATTAAACTAATAGCTCATATCAATGCTAGTAATGGTTAATATTGTTTACCGAACACAAATTTTATTATTAGATAATGAGAGAATGGCTTAACTGGTTTTCAAATTTGTAATGTGTATTTGAGGAGACTAATAATGAAATGTAAGAAATATTACATGAGCTGATCAATGATTTGAAGATGACCCAGAGTTACAAATTTATTGGATAAAGTAGTTACGAATTTAATTTTTGTTTAGAACTACGGAGTCTAAAAGTGAAACTGGAAGAATAACCTCTGCTTTGGCTTCGGACTATGATTCTAGCTATATACAAGACGGAAAGCAGTCAGTATCTCAAATGTTGCTTGTAGATGAACTGGTAAAAAAACAATGGATTGATCGTTTAAGTGATTTTATGATTGCTTGTGATTTGTACAAAGTTAAGCCTAAAAAAATTAAAACTTGAAGAAGATTAGTCATTCGAATTATGCTGATAAACGTAAGTATTTTTTTTTAATTGGCAGATTAATATCATTCTTTGCAATAAAAGTTATAGGATTGAAATTGCAAAAATTATTATTGCTAACTTTTGGTTAACTTTAATTGCCAGAAGTCTACTTGATGGCTTAATTATATAGAAGGCTAAATGAAGTTAATTTTAAATCGATTATTCATTTAAGTTGATGGAATGGGTCGAAACTGTTCTCAAGAAAGGTGTAAGAGGCTTGAGAGAAGAATTCTTACAGTTACTGCAGAAGAAAGAAGTACCTCGAAATGCAATTTGTTTGGATAAATCACGCGTAAAAAAATTATGACGGAGGAAGCTGATGATGATTATCTTCATGCAAATTACATTAGCACACCATATTCAGAACGCCGATTTATTTGTGCTCAGGTTTATCGTATCTACCTAACAACAACTTTCTACATCATTTTTCTGTTTAATATTTATATAATTAATTTATATGCTTTATCGTATACATTAACATATCATAATTAATTTAGTTACATTTTTTAATTTTTTCAAATTTATTTTTGCATATTTTAACGACAAATTAAGCAGTCACATTTTTTGTTTTGTAGGCAAATATTTTGTCCCCAAAACTCACAATATACGTAAAATAAGACATTAATAATAGATAAATAGTATTTAAAAGTATTATATTCAAGGCTCGACTATAAATACGGTATCGGATTTCTGGTATATGATTTATCAACAGAAAACAGAATTTATTATTATGCTAACTAATTTTAACAAAAATGAACCTGAAAAATCAGCAAGTCATTCACCTGTCGAAAGTGGTCAACTATGTATAAATAACGATATTGGTTTACACTGTCGTACTGTATGCATTTTTATAATTTATTAATATTTGCAATTCATTTTAAAAATTTATATTAATAAATCAAATATCTTAATTTTATAAAGTTTTTTCTGTGAAAGTTAACTTTTTTATTACGGTACAGATAATATCTGCCTCAAAATTAGGGATCACTGTGATAATATACGTGAAGATTAATGACTTGTTAAACGCGAATATGAAATAATCACTGCTACGCGGATATGAATGATTGTCCTCATGTTTATTAAAAGATTCAAATATATGTATTTAATCACTGTTAACGTGATATATTCAGTCGCATACTGTTAATGTAATAGTAGTCTATTGATAATATAGTCGTTTATGATTAGTTCCGAAATTTTTCTTTCAACGCTAACTATTAATCTGCATATTTGGACAGAACCTGCATTAATAATAATAAGATTGAATTATGAGTCTAGCCAAACATAAATAACGTCAATTATGACGCATAAATCTAATTTCAGTTAATATGGAGAGAATTGAAAAAATTAGCATTTTAGTGCGAACGTCGCATGGATTTCCCCTCTGAAATATGGCAAAAAACTATTGAAATATTTTTGGATGAAACTATACATTTTGTCACAATCTTTCACTGGACTGATTGGCCTGCCCACGGCGTACCTCGCGATTTTATCAGTCCTTTGCGTCTTCTCGAAGAGGCAAAGTTTATTTCTTTAAATAATAAAAACTTTTTGAAAAGTAATACACATATTTGAATTAAAAATCAAGTTTGAGGTGTTATTACCAAGTCAAAAAGCCAATTTTTATGCTCATATTCGGTGAAATTAATAAATAATACACGTTAATGACCACAAAAATCGCTACATGCATAATTGACGTAAAATCAAAAAACTTTTATTTTTCCAGAAAAAAGAACAGATTAAATATTTTTTACTGTTGCCTTTATTGTAATGGAGCAATGTTGAAGTGATCAAAAATCCGAATAAACCGTGCATGTAATGAGATTGAGAACCGAAATTTAATTTCAGCATTGAAAATAATTGTATAGTAGTTGGCAAGTGATTAATTGTTATTACTTATGATATTGCACAAATTTAATTCAAATTACCATTGTACTGCATAAATCCAGACATATTCACGACTACAGCGTGCGAGCTTTCAACTTAAATAAAGGCGATTGTTTATTGCAAAGTCGATTCCTTCAACTTCAAATGTCTACTCGAATGGAAATGATACTGCTAAGACTGTTGAGTCAAATTAAGCATTTCTCACTATTTTCAACTTTGTTTACGGAACATGTAGCGAATCAGAGTTTTTGTTCTGCATATTTATCGTACAACTTTCAATTGAATCAATTTTTATTATTACTACATTTACACACGCTAAATATTGGAAGACAGAACTAAAACATCACACCCGTAAAAGCATTAGTAGAACAACACAAGAAAGACAAATACGATAATAATTCGTTAAACAATGCATATTACGATAATCACAAGAAATATATTTGTAGAAAGCATGAAATCAAAAAATACTATACCTTTTCGAAAAAATTCAAAAAAACAAGAAGTTATTCATTACAATGAAATCAGTTTCAAAAAAAGTAGAAAATAATCCTTCCATCCCTTAAACTCATTGTCGATGCTGAAGGTTTCTCACAGAATTCATCGCGTTATTACGTGACTTACGTCGACGCTCTTGAGGTCTTGTTTCTGTTGCTGTTCTTGGACTGCAATCTGTAATTAAAACTTTTTTTTATACTCATGTACAAAAATAAAACAACACTTAGTTTATTTATTATACTATACTCTGGATACTTTGAATACCTATTATATTAGATTATTGATTATTAGCAATATCAGTATCTCTAAACATATGATTACTTACTCATGAAGTCTTGCACTCTTCGATTTTTCTGTACGCCGTTTGTCGGCTTTTCCAGCCCCTTCTAGAGCTGATCCGGAAGACTTCCCATACAACTGCAATGAGAGCTTCCGGTGCCGACTCAGTGTACTCCGAGAACGCAAAAAGTCTGTTCTCTCCTGCAATGACACACAAATCGATTTCCGACAAATGTATTAGAAATCTGTTTTTCATAACTATCATCAAAAGTGAGCGAACATTCTAACAACCTATCTGATCAAGAATACTTACATGATCAAACCTCTCCTTTTTCGCTCCGGTTCAATGTTATTCGGAGCGTATATCAGCAGGCTCAGGACGCTTTTCCTCAAGCATCCAATCATCACTGCTGATCAGAAGGAGGGGCGACCAAACAACTGTTTCTTCTTTGTGCCAATCCTTCAGCACTTCGGATTGGCACCCGCTAGATGTCAGAAACTGAAAATTTATCACTTTATCATATTTTTTCATTCTCAAATTTTCGTAAGAATATATAATCACACATGCGAAACTCTAATAAAATTTTCATTTCTCTCATTCAAATCATGTGATCACTTACTCATGAAATCTACCATTCTCCGACTTTTCTTTACGCCGTTCGTCGGTTGTTCCAGCTCCTTCTTGAGCTGATCCGGAAGTCTTCCTGCACTCTTAATGATGAAGACTTCCGCTACCGACTCAACATACTTCTGCAGAACAGGAAGATCAGTTCTCTCCTGCAATGAGACATTAATTGATTTCTGACAAGTGTATTACTAATTTGTTCTTCATAACTATCGTCAAAATAGAGTGATCATTCTAACAACCTATCTAATCAAGAACACTTACAGGATCAGGTCTTCCATCTCTTGCCTTTTTGTCGTCGATTACCATCAACGACAACGGTAGTGTCCGTTTACCACTGAATTCCACTTATTACACACCTAACGTTTCAGAGTGTAGCAATATGCTGTTCAGTAAAACGCGGCTTCGTCCACTGTATTGGAATTATGTAATACACTAGAGATCTCATCTTGGATCTCTTTTTCATGCGTCAGCATCGTCAAGTGAAGATTCACAATGATCAGCATGCAATAAGTAGTAGTTAAGAGTAAGTAGTATTGCAAAACCGGTATGTAATAAGTAGTATGCAGTGGTAGATAGTGCCTCCTAGCATGTGACCACTAATGCTGAATTGTGCTTGACAATATCGCTAATCTGACACTATCGTTAGCTTTCAGACTGCAAAAATCTCTTAAACGTTCAAGTGCAAAGCGTTTATCAATTCTTTTAACTCCCTTTCAAGTTGATCTGGAGGATCTGCACTTTCTTGCTATAGATTTGATAAACTATTACAATGAGGTGGTGAAGATGGAACCAGAAGATTCTCAAGCCATTGACCATGATGTCAGGCAGTTAATACAAAGTACGTAATTCACAAACGACTTTCGTGTTTGGATACTATGTACCTGCTTAGAAATGAGATAGTTCGTAAGCTTCACAGCGTTGAGCGAAGAAATGAACTTATGCTTCAGCGGTTTTCTGCAGTTTCGTAGAAACCTCTTCCATTTTTCTTAAGAGGATGGCTCACAACACGTACTCAGAAATTATTGTATCCTATCTTTGCAAACTTTGAAGACAATCCAACTAATAAAAACCTCAGAGAAGCTCAGAAACCGCTCTCGCTAATGAAAATTTGGAAATCGGTGTCCTACCTTGCGTTGG